GCAGCAGGTTCTTGGATACCCCCATATGCAGCAGCCACCCCACCAGGTGGGGGCTGAGGAGACTCTGCTGCTGGAGACACCTCGTGACCTCTGCAAGCACAGACCTGCAGCTGCGCTGCAGCACGGAGACAGTTACTGTGTCTGAGCACGAGGGCCCCCCCCCCTCACCTACATCTCCTTGGGGGCCCCCCTCTGCTACATCTCCTTGGGGGCCCCCCTCTGCTGCATCCCCCTGGGGGCCCCCCTGCAGCCGCCGCAGCCCCAACCGCCACTCCCCGAATCCCGGCTCGTGGACTTCAAAGGCTTGCTCAAGTACCCATAGAGTGCCCTGCTGCTGCAGCTGCTGCTGCTGCTGCTGCTGCTGCTGCTGCTGCTGCTGCTGTTGTTGTTGCTGTTCGTGGTCTTCTAGTTTGTGTTGCTGCTGGTTTATTTGTTTTTGTGTTGTGGGGTCTATACTGACTGTCTGCAGCAACCTGAGGCGGTATAGAACTGCTCCTGCTGCTGCTTGTGTTGCTGCTGGCAGCAGTCTCCTCGGCAGCAGCCAGGAGACACCTGCAGGGGTCGCCAGGGCCTCAGGTGTCAGTACACCTGAACTTGCTGCTGCTTGAAAAGCAGCACACGAGTCTACAAAGGAGACAGCTGCTGACGCTGCAGAGACACTGGGATCGTCTCCTCCACCCTCCATACCCCTAAACCCCAACAACGCACAGGGGCTCTGCCCTGTCTGCAGCAGACCCCACAAAGCGGCAGCGTCTGGTGGGGTAGGGGGACTGTCTCTGTCTCCTTTTACTTCTCTGTCTCCTTTTTCTTCTCTGTCTCCTTTTATTTCTCTGTCTCCTTTTTCTTCTCTGTCTCCTTTTTCTTCTCTGTCTCCTTTTCTTTCTCTGTCTCCTTTTCTTTCTCTGTCTCCTCCGCTGTGCAGCACCAGCTGCTGCCATATGAAAGTTATCGAGGGTGCTCGCTGCAGCAGTCTGGAGTTGTCTCCTTCGACTAGAGGCGCTGCACCTCCCCTGTTGCTGCTGCTGCTGCTGCTGCTGCTGCTGCAGCTGCTGCAGCTGCTGCTCACAGCAGCAGTCTCCTGCTTCAAGCCCATAGAAAACAGGGCCCTGCTGCATGTCTCTGCTGCATGCGCTGCACTTGCGTTTCTGCTGCTGAAGGCAAGGGGGTCAGTGTAGTAAACAAAGTCCGAGTAGGGGGCCCCACACTCATCGTCTGCAGCAGCAGGAGACAGCTGTCTCCTCCGCTGCTGCGATGCAGCCTGCACTGTCTCCTTAGAAAAGACAGAGGAGACACTTTGTCTCCTGCTGCTGCAGGAGGAGACAGGGGACGCGGGGGTGTCTCCGTGCATGAGGGGGAGGTTAGAGACCTTGGTGCATGCAGCTGGCCTGCGCCGCCGTCTGCTGAGGTCTCCTGTCTCCTCGTCAAGTGTCTCCTCAGCACCAACTGTCTCCTTTTCCTCTGTCCCCTCACCAGCTGTCTCCTTTTTTACTGTCTCCTCCTCCCCCCATGTCTGCTCAGATGTCTCTTTCTCTGTGTCTCTCCTGTTGTTGCTGCTGTACCCCACACTGGAGTTTTTCTTTATGGAGACAGTTGTGTGGGGTGTATCTGCAGTGTCTCCTTTGTCTCCTTTGAGCAGCATATATTTTTCTTGCTGCAGCAGCAGCAGCAGCAGCAAAGATAACTTAGATTTCTCTATAGGGAACAGCTGCAGCATAGGGGGACCAGAGAAAACCATACAAACTGTATGGCGAACGAAAAAACTTGAGAGCTTCAGGCTGTCTCCTGCAGCTCCCCGTGGCGGTGCCAGCTGAATGCTATAATAAAGGGGTACAGAGGAGGGTCGAGTTGCTGGGGTGTCTCCGAGGCCCCCATAGTAGTTGCCTTGCTGCTGTACCCAGGGGCCCCCCGAGGGGCCCACCAAGGGGGCCCTGCAGCTGGGGGCCCCAGGGGCCCCCACGACCCGTCTGAATCCAGGTGTATGTACACCGGAGAGGTACTGCGATGAGGCCCCCTCACGCACACGGGGGAAGAGCACAGGAGGAGACACTTCGGTGGGGCTGTCTCCTGCATGCAGGCGAGGAGACAGAGTAGCAGCAAAGTGTAGGGGCTCTCGCAGCTGCAGCACGTACACCCCAGCTTCTTGGGCCTCTAGAAGGTAATCATAGTCAGCCCATGTTGCTGCAGCAACAAAACATATATACACACAACAACAAAAACAAAGACAATGCATGCATGCGCTGCATGCGCATGCAGCAGCAGCACGTGCTGCATGCATCCACTCTACCCTGCAAGCCACAGGAGAGACACGGGAAAAATAAAACTTAAGATTGCCTAGGAACAGGAACTCTCTATGAAGCAAACCCATTATATATATATATATATATATATATATAT